AAATTGAGCAAGTTATGGTTATTTGTTGTGGAAGTTCAAGAGAAAACAGATTTTAACTAATAATAAATCGTGTTTAACTACGAATTCGAATTAATCGATTACAAAAAAACCTAGTTCCAATACGTCCGAATTGTTTCCCCTCGAGCTCATCGGTTCATTTAAACGACGCCGGCATGTTTTTCTGACGGCGAAGGAGCTCGCGATGAGAAGGAGTCATGGCGGAGACGAGGAACTGGTCCAAAGCTTGGCTTCAAAACATTCAGAAAGTTGTTCAAATTAACGTCACGTGTAGGATGATGATTGAGAGCGAGAAAAGCAACATTTGTGTGTTTGATCGGCTGGAAAAATGACAAAATCCAATATCGAGATAGTTGCAGATCTGTTGATTGATTGATTGATTGATTGATTGATTGATCAGTTCAGGTCTAACAAACAATAAAACAAAGTAAACACAACATACATACAGTTGTTGAAGTGAAACATGTTATAGTTCCTGTATTCTTAAATACAGAAAGAGTTAATAAATGATTCACTTTATTTGTACAGCATTTTTCAAAACAAAAGCACCAAAGATACAGAAAGAGTTGAGGTGTATACCCTTCAAAATAAAAGACTTTATAATAACAAACACTAAAACACAGCTGTACCACATGCATTAAAGACTGAATCTGACTTTGTTTTTATGTGCTTCTGTTCAGTTTCAGGACCTTCAGGTGGACCGGGAGATGCTGCTGACCTCCAATCGGAGCGTGGCGGAGGAGAGCCTCGCCCGACGACCTCGCCTTTGTAACGGCAAACTCCAACTGGCGGAGAAATACCGGCAACTGTCCAACCTGGCAGCCACATGCTGGGAAAAACAGAGTCAGCTTGGTAAGTTTAGACCCCCCTCTCTCCCGCCTCTCTCCCCTCCTCCTTTCTGGTTTCATACGAGATGCCAGTGAACGATCGCCGTCGAGACATAAGTCAAGAGGAGCTGGTGGTTGTGATGACAAGGTCAGTGGTGCAGATTCCAGGACCGGACGGGTAAATATCGCCCCGCTAAGTGAACGTGAAGCATTGTTACAGCTTGCTAAAAGCCCTTTTTCCGGCCTTCTATGTGACCTTAAACTGCTGACTGTTGTTGTAGTCTTTATTTACTTAAACGGCCGCAGAGCTCTCATAAGGTTTTATGTAGAGTACAGTGAAAACAAAACCCCAAAGAAGAAATCGCAGAAGGGAGAAGGTTGCGTCCCAAAACCTCTTAAGGTTAAAACTAATTACACACGAGATCCCACAGTGGCTCCTCGTTGTCTCACCTTGTAATTGCACCGAGACATTGCAGCCTTTTCAGAGACATAGAAAGCAAAACGAAAGCTCCCAAAAATCACTTCTGACTCACTGTGACACTCTTACTTGTGCAGAGAACGAGAGACGTTTCACATCAGAACAGAAAAGCTTCGGAGCGCCAGTGAGACGAGCCTTCAACTGCTCGGCGAAAAGCCTCAGCATGACTGGAGTTTGGTCATGGGAACGAAAGGGAGCATATCAAATGCCAGCAGGAAGCTTGCAGCAGTTGTCAAGGAATTTGCGGGGTGAAAGGGGCCTTGTCTTTGTTTAGGCAAGTCATGCTTTTGACGGGGCAGCTATAGGGCAGGGCCGGAGGATGTCTTTTTAAGCCTCAGCCTTAAATTATGAGCCTCACGGGCAAGCTTTAGAAATTCCTCGCAGCACAAGAGGCAAAAGCAGGTGATGAAATGAATCCCGTTTGCGTTAATATCTGTACCTCTGAGTGAACTAACCCTGATGAAAAAACGCATTGCCAGATTTGTTTCTACAGCCTCAGCTGCCGGCCAGTGATGGAAGTTGGGAGGAATGTTAAACTTCCTGTCAGTGTGCACACATTACGCAGATGCTGTCCCACCTCCCCAGCGAAGCAGGATGGGCGGGGGTCTGTCCTTCCTCTGCAAAACATCTGATTCTCATTTGCTGCAACAAGGGAGGGAGAGAGGAAAAGAGGAAAAAAAGAAAAGATGAATGAGGAGAGTTTTCTTGAGGCGAGTAATTGTAGCAGAGACAAACTGTGGAGGGGATCAAGGCAGACAGCTGTATTGTTTAATACATCCTGCTGTTTGGTGGATGGGGATCTGTGGCCAGAGAAAGCTGGCAGTGTGTTGTGGTTGTGTTCCCCAGGTGGAGAAGAAACCTTGGCTGTTTCGTGACGTCTCCTCCAGACGGTTTCTCACAAATATTATTGGCGTCTGTTTCCCTCTGCGTCCTCTTTCTGCTGTTAGCCTGGTTGCTGCTCATCAGCGCTGACTTTTAAACGTTCCAGATGAAACATAATCTCACCCGCACACACACTGTAGGTGACCCTGTTCTTTTAAAGCAGCCCTGTCTCTTAGAATATTACATCTATTTTATACTAATTTGTTTTGCCAGATTTAAAAGTCTGGTTAGGTTTAAGACTCGATGGCTCGGAGTCGAGTCACATTTTGTCGTTTGAAAATCTTTTTTACACAGAGCAGAGCAGCAGCAACGGGATGGCGGGCTGTGAGCTTTACAAACTGAGCCTTAAGATGACCACAAACCACAAAACTAACTGTAATGGAAGTGGAGAAGAGTGATGGTTAGTGGATGGCAGCGTGACGCCGGTCAGCTCAACCGCTTTTGAACCAGACGGTGGTCCAGCCTCCTCTACCTCCTCGACTGCCTTTGTCCCAGCCGGCCATAGAGGCGCCTCCCGCTGCTGCGCTGAGATTCTTCTATCTGAACTAATGAACAGGACCTCACATTTTTCAGGCATTAAACATGCAGACTCCGCGCTCCCCCCAGATGGATTCAGCGCGGCGCCGAACACCTAAAAGACGAGGGGCGAAAGAAAACTCTTTGTATTGAGCATGCCAAAATCCAATTCAAGCTTGACACATTTCTGAGTTTGGCGGCGGGCCAAACGAAAGCCACTACCTAAGCAGGAGTTAGAGGCAACATCATGGTTTTGATTAAATGTTAATAAAGATTTACGTACAGAGTTTAATCATTAAATACAAGTCAACAAGCTTGTCTCCCTGGCTTTCAACGCTCACCTGCCTGAAAATGTTTCCTAATATAAACGCAGACCACGATGTTCCCTGTAAGCCATAAAATAGCAACGATTAATATCACTTTAGTGCATGAAGCAGCGATATTGTAAGCGAAACAAAGACAATATGTCGTCGGTGAATCGTGTAAACCCTCCTGCAAAATCTGCTAATCTTTGCCAGCTTACCCAGTCCGTTAACGTCTTCAACCCTCAACCCCTTTATCGAGTGTGCTCCTCAGGACCCCTTTCACATCCTGCTAGGCCTACGCGGTGCCGCATTTGAGCT